TTCCCCACCTCCTCCCCAGTTGTCTACCATGTGCATCACCCAGGGTCTCTGGTGGGAAGCTGCAGCACGTGTCTGGGGCTCAGCGTTTGGGGACGGAGGTGAAGATGCGCAGTCCGTGCATGCCTTTGATGTCTTCCTTCAGGGCCTGGTTAACCCTCTGGTGCTGCTGCACAGGCCTCTTCGCCTTGAAGTCTTCGGACTCGATGTGGATCTAGCACATGGCTCCGGAGTCCCTTCAGTGCTGACGTCCTAGGGCGTTGGTCGGCAAGCTCTGGCTCTTTGGGCCTGTGCCCGCGGCTCTGAAATGTTGGTGACTTTGATAGCTGTGGCTGGAGGAAAGTTGGCTTTGAGCACCTCGGTCACTTGGCGCTCCCCTGCTGTCTGAGAGGCAAACATCTGATGGGCACCATGCAGAAGAGAAAGCCAGCGTTTCTCGCGGAGCACAGGCGCCGCTGGCCGGGCCCCAAGACGCCATGCTGGCGGACACGGCCCGCCGCCTGAGGTCACTCCAGAGTTTTCTAATGCACATGCCCATTCATGGAAATTTAGGTTGTTTCCAGATCTTTGTGATTGTGAATTGTGCTGCAATAAGCATTGGCGTGCCGATGACTGGTTGCGATCTATTTGTTACTTTTGGGTATAATATGCTCAGTAGAGGGATTGCTGGGTCGTTAGGTAGCTCAATTTCCAGTTGCTTTAGGTATTGCCAGATAACTCTCCATAGTGGCTGTATGTATCTATAAGACCATCAGCAGTGGATGAGAGTTCCTATCTCACCGCATCCCCTTCAACATTTGTTGCTCTCTGATTTTTTATTTGGGCTATCCTCAACGGTGTTAGCGTGTATCTCAAAATTGTTTTAATTTGCATTCCTCTGATGGCTAATGATTGAGAACATTTTTTCATATGCTTAGTGACCATTTGGGTTTCCTCCCTGGTGAAACTTCTGTTCAGTTCTTTTGCCCACCTCCTCAGAGCGTTTTCTGCTTTTTTCTTATTGCAAGTTAGTAGGGTATTGTAGATTTTAGTAATAAGCCCTTGTTTGATGTGTCATTGCTAAAGATCTTCTTCCAGCCCACGGGTTCTTTTATTACTCTCTTTGTGAAGTCTTTCGATGCACACAGGTAAAATACCGTAGTATAGTGGGATATCCTTAGTTTATTCCACCTGTCAGTTTCAGGCTTCTTCTGTGTGTGTATCCTTCCCTATTTCAGTTAGTCTATGTATTCCCTGAGCCAAGGTTCTTAGGTTTGTCCCGATTACCTTGTTGATGGTCTTAATAGTTTGGAGTTTTCCTTTGAGGTCTATGATGCACCTTGAGTTTGTTTTTGTGCATCGGGTGAGGTAAGGGTCTTAACTTCATATTTCTCCAGGCAGATATTAATTTTTTTCCAGCACCATTTGTTAAAGAGGGCATCTACATCCCATTTTATGTTTTTTTGGGCCCTTATTGAAGATCAGTTGTCTGTATGCTGATGGTTTTATTCTGGGTTTTCTGTTCTTTTCCATTGGTTTGAGTATATGTCATTATACCAGTACCACACTGTTTTGACCACTGCGGCCATAATAGTATGGTTTAAAGTCAAGTAAAGTAAGCCCTCCAACTTTGTCCTTCTTCTTTTGGTGTTCTCTTCTAATTCTGAGCTTCTTCCCTCTCCATGTGAAGTTGGTAGTCAGTTTTTCCATTTCTTTGAAGAAGGAAGCTGGTATTTATATTAGTATAGTTGAACTTATCTAGTGCCTTGGGTAGGATTGATATCTTTACTATATTGAATCTTCCAAGCATGGGATATTCTTCTATTTGTGGAGGTCACTTTTGGTTTCTTGTAGTAGAGTTCTGTAGTTTTCCCTCATAACAAATCTTTTGGGGTTTTATTTGGTTAGGTATATCCCTAGGTATTTCAATTTATTCTCAGCTATTATGAAGGGCACTGCCTTCTTGCTCTCCTCTTCCTTGGTCTTGTCCGATGTATATAACAATCCAGTAGACTTCTGTTTGTTGATCTTGTATCTAGCCACTCTTCCATATTCCTCTTTTGCTACAAGCACTCCTCTTGTGGAGCTTTTGGGGTTTTCAATGTAAAGAATCATGTAGTTGGCAATTAACTATAGTTTCACCTCTTCCTCCCCTAACAAATACCTCTAATGTCCTTCTTTTGCCTTATATTGTTAGCTATGACCTCCAGTACAATGTTGAATAAAAGTGGGGACACGGGCATCCTTGTCTGGTCCCCCTTTTCAGTGAGATTGTTTTTGTCTTTACTGACTATGATGTTGGTACAGCCATTAAGCCTTATGGCAGTTCTGCTCTGAGACAATTGTTTTTTTCCTGTCATTATTTATACATGAAATACACATATCAACTTAGATAGTTCTTAGGCAGTGTTTTCTTTCTGATTATGATTTAATTTTAGTATCACATATTATATGACATTTACCTATATTTACATTTTTCATATATTCGAAAGTAGAACCATGAATAAAATCGTTACAGGACAGCTTCTGCTCCTGTAAAGATTTAGTCTTGCATGATCACGAAGACAAATGGGTGCATAAGCAACAATGCCCATATGGAAGAAGCACAACAGCCTGTGTGATCATGAGGTTTCGATAGGATCTGGTATCAAGCATCAAAGAACAAAAAATCATATCATTGTGAATGAGGGGGAGTGCTGAGTGGAGAGCCAAAGCCCATCTGTAGACAACCGGACTTCCCCTTACAGAAAGGTTGTGGGGAGGAGACGAGCCAGTCAGGATGTAGTATAGCACCGATGAAACGTACAACTTTCCTCTAGTTCTTTAATGATTCATCCCCCCTATCATCATGATCCCATTTCCACCTTATAAATCCAGCTAGACCAGAGGAGGTACACTGGTACAGATCAGAGCTGGAAACCCAGGGAATCCAGGACAGATAAACCCCTCAGGACCAATAATGAGAGTAGCCATACCAGGAGGATAAGGGGAAGGTGGAGGGAACCAATCAAAATGATGTACATATAATCTCCTCCCTGGGGGATGGACAACAGTAAATTGGGTGAATGGAGACATTGGGCTGTGTAAGATATGGGAAAATAATAATAATTTATAAATTATCAAGGGTTCGTGAGGGAGAAAGGGTCAGGGAGGGAGGGGAAAAATGAGGAGCTGATACCAAGGACTCAAGTAGAAAGAAAATGTTTGAGAATGATGATGGCAACAAATGTACAAATGTGCTTGACACAATGGATTTATGTATGGATTGTGATCAGAGTTGTATGAGCCCTAATAAAATGATTTATATATCTATATATAAAAAAGATTTAGTCTTGAAGAACCCACTCTGACCTATGTCGGGTCACTGAGTCGCAATTGACTTGGTGGCAGTTAGTTTTATGGCTTTTAAATTATGAAAGTAAGATCAAATTTCTTTAAAAAATCATAATATTAAAAAGATTTTAAATTTTCTGTTTGTGTTTTTCAGCAAAAGAAGCATTTGAGAAGAAAGTCTCGCCTATAATAATAGATAATACAAACCTACAGGCATGGGAGATGAGGCCATATGTTGCTTTGGTTTGTATGATAAATTATCATAAGTCTTGTCGGTGGTCATGAGTTTGAGGTCATTGGGGGATGTTACTTATACAAGCGAATCTCATCAAACAACCCTTAAACTAACTGTAATTGAGCCTTCTCTGTTCCTCAGCAAAATGAGATAAGAAGGGCAGGATAGCTTAATTTATTCCATAAGGCTAATTAATTCAGTTTCTAAATTCTGAGACTGTTTGCTTATGTGTCTTGGTGTCTTCTATGAAAAAGGCACTGTACACTTATTTATTTGTAGGTGTGTGTATGTTTGTATTTATTTTACTTCTCCTTCTTAGTGTCCTTATATGACAGAATAAAAATGTGGTTGTTATTTTTCCCTAGATTTCTTTCGAAATTTTGCTATTTTGAGAAATTCAGAATTTTGTAAATGGAACTGTTTGCCACTTCCAATTCTACCAGATTCCTTTTAATTGCTAGCCCTTTTGCTGTTCCTCTTCCCTCCTCTTTTAGCTTGTTTCTATTTACTTTTTCTTTGTTTTTTTTGGCCTAGCTTTGACATAATCTTTCAAGACGTTATCAAACATTAACTTGTTAAATGGCCGAGTTAGGTATTTTCTCTGCTCTCCTGGTGTCTTGGCTTATTCCTACCACAGCAATAACTACCCTGGTTTTTAAGCATTAAGCCAGGGGTTTGGCTAGCACTACCCCCCCCCCCCCCAATATTTTATTGTGTTTAGGTGAAAGTTTACACAGCAGGTTAGATTGCCATGCAACAAATTATACACAAATGTTCAGTGGCATTGATCACAGTCCCTGTAATGTGTCAACACACACCATTTCCACCTGGCCTGCCTGCCCTGCCTTACCTTCTCTGCTTCTGTGTAAATGTTGATTGTTTGGTCTCCTGTAGTAGTTGCTTGTTTAACGTTGGTTAACTTTCTTTATAAAGGGAAGGGTAGTAATTGTTGGCTTTGCAGGTTATATTACATATTCTTAAAATTAAAAAAAATTCTGTAAAGACAAACCCTATTCTTAGCTCGCAGGCTGTACAGTATGGATTTGTCTCTGGGCCATAGCTCTGTTCTTAAAAGTCGTGTTACGTTGTGTTCATCATTGAATGTCTAGGATATAGTGCTTGGCTCATAGGAATCATGTACTCATTGGGCATATGTTCATTGAGAGACATTTTGTTAGCATGGGGTGTTTGGGGGTTATTCTCCTAGGATTAGCATATCTCTGATACACGGGAGTTTAATTCATGCTCCTTGAGTGAACGGATGTTGTACTTCCTCTTTATAATCCTCAACACACAAGCCTCTGTTTACCTTAGTTCTTGTGCCTAGTACACTTGTGCTATTTTGAAGATGAGATTCTTCACCTTTCTGAAGAAAATGACGTCTTTTGAAAGCAAATGAGCTATCACTTCTGGGCATGGACAGTAAAGAAAACAAATACTTAATTTTAGTGTACCAGCAGCTGAAAACAGGCTTATTTTTTGTCTTTTGGTGTTCCTGTCTAAAGATATTCACACGGGGTCTTTCTTTTCCACCATTTGCATTGCATGGTTTATCTGAAAGTCTTCTAAGATTCCTACTGTCATCCTAGAACGTTCTGTAAGCTTTGTTTCCTCCAGGGAGAAAGTAAAGGCAGCCTTGCATTGCCATCCTTCGAGTCCTCATTTCTCTTTAAGTTTCTGTTTCTCTTCCTCTCTTTTCTTACATGGTAATTAAAACCATAAAGGTATAGTGCTTATGGGTGCTTGCGGACAGCTGCTCAGTGGTGGCCATGGGCAGGTGCAGGGCTGGAAGCTTCCAAAGCTTTACTCCTTTTACCAGTGCTCCTGATCTTGTGTATGATCAAGTCCATTAAGCCTATTCCCACCCAAATCTTCTAGCAAACTTGTGTGTAGTAGGGCTTCCTGGGGGTCCACACATTCTTAATTAGGCTTTGAAGTATCTCAGGAGTAGGACAAACAACTCTGCTGGATCGGGAACCCTTGCTCCTTATTTAAAAATCATCTCTAGATGTCTTATAATACCCATGGCACCGAAAATGCTGTGCAAATAGCACTTCGTGTTCCTTCTTAGCTTTTGAGGGATTGTTGTGACTATTTACTTGCATTTGCATTTTCTTTTCTGCTCTTGAGTGTTTTTGATGCACGGTCAGTTGACTCTGCTAATATGGAGCCCATGGCTGTGGAGGGCTGACTGTATGTGTGGGTGTGTGTATTTAAGGGAGTCGCCAGCATATGGGTGATATTTACCAAGAGGATAGGACGGCATTACCAAGGAAGTGAGTATATATCAAAAGTGAAAGACCAAGCTGAATTCGGGTTACTCCACTCTGAAGGAGTCTGGGTGAAAAGGAAGTGCTAGCAAAAACAGACTGAGGAACACACACCCACCGAGGTGGAGGAAAAGCAAGAGTGTGTAGTGCAGAAAGCCCAAGGAGAAGGTTTTGTGAACTGTGCCACGTGAAAGGGAATTGAGAGTTAACCTCAGATAATCGAGAGAGCCAGTATAGGTAACTTGTTTGAGGCCTTTAGTTACAAAGAGGAGCTGGGGAATGGGGAGGTAGGTGTCAAGGGAAGTACCGTCAGAAGCAAGTAATGATTCTATGTCTATTGATAGGATTTTATGTCTATTCCATGTCTAAAGAATGAATGATGCTAGGGATAGAAGGGAATTGCTAAACTCAGTTATCCTTGAGTAGACAAGAGGAAATGTATCTCTGTAGTGTACAAGTGTGAGGTTTGGCTTTTAGATCATAGGCATGTTGAAATGTTGAAAATTTCATTGTTTAGAGTAATTTTTAAAATTATGAAAGTCATACACATGCATGATAAAATTCAGATCATGAAAGAGTGCTTAAAGTCCTACTCCTTAAAGGTAGTTGTTTTAATATTTGAGAACCCAGAAATTTCCTACGTGTGTATAGAAGTGTGAATAATCCTTTTTTACCCAAATGAATTTTGTCTCATATTTAATGTAGTTTAAGGCTCTTCTCTCATTAATACATGCTGATTAAAAAAAAATCCCATTGTATGGTTGTACCTTCACTTATTCAGTTGGTTCCAAATTAATGGCTACTGAGATATTTGCATTTTTGAGCTATTACAAATAATGGTGAGTTAGATTTCCTGGTTTATGTTTGTTTTTGTACTCTTAGGTAAGTATTTGTTAGTAGGATAAGTTGCGGGTGTTAATTACTGGGTCCAAGAGATGCATTTCACCACTTTAGCATAACCAGGAATATTGGATAATCTTTTATGGTCTTCCAGTTTTAACATGCTCTGAATTTGGAAACAATGAACTTAATTTCCAGGAAATAATTACCTTCAAATGTTTTTTCTCTTATACATAGTCTCAAAAATATAAGTATAAAGTCCTTTTCCGTGAACCAGATACTTGGTGGAAGTTTAAACCAAAGGAACTTGCAAGGTAAAACTTGGAAGATATCTAATTTATTTTAATTTCATGATAGTGATAAGAAGCCTGTCTCAATGAATGAAACAAAACTGATATAGCTTGCAGTATGCCACTTAAAATTGACAACTTGTTTGTGTTGCCTGGAGGTGTCTTTTCCCCCACCCCCAGTTTTATGAAAAGTTTGTATGTTTTAATTTCTAAAATTAACTTAACATAAAAAAATGAGATTGGCTTATAGAACCAGTATTTTAGTACCTATTTTAGTACCACATAGTGTTAATATTTGAAACTAGAATAGACTTTGGGGCTTGGCACACCTGAGTCATGTACTACTGGGATAGAGAAATGATTATGGCTGCCTGGTGACTGAGGAATACAAGAGGGGTTGGAAGTAGAGTTGGCAGAGGTACTAGCTGCCCAGCTCTTTCAGTCTCGCTTCTTCCCACCCCATCCTTCTTTACCTTGAATACAAAAGTTACTCATGATGTTTTTGGCTTTGTGCTCAGTAGTTCCTGAGAAGATAGCGCTACCTTCATTTTGGTCAGTGCATTTCTTCCAGATAACCGTAACTAATTTCAATACTAGGTAGAGGACAGCTTATGTTTAGTTATAGTCACCATGCTACCTGATTCCTGATCATTTCCTTTCCGTACTCATTAACAGTCACTGTCAATTCTGTCCCCCCTTATTTCCTGCTCTACTTTCTGTTTCTTTGCATTTCTCTGAAAGCTCCCACCATAAGTGAGGTATGTTGAAATATTATTTTACATTGACCATGTCAGTTTCTTTTGCGTCTGCCTATTTTTGCTTGGCATAGTCTGAAGATCTCTCATGTAAGTGCATATAAGTTTAGGACTGTTCTGTCATGCTAATGGATTTAATCTCATTTTTTGTAGTCATTTTTTTCCTCTTTAATGCCAGCTTTTATCTTAAAGTACACTTTTTCAAATCTAATTAGAGCTATATCAGCTTCTTTTTAATCTCTATTTTAGTGTTAACTCTTTCTCCATGCTTTCATTAAACTTTTCATTACCCCCCTCACTGACCCATGGCCCTGTGGGGGAAAACACCAGTGACACAGTGTGGGATTTGCACCTGATCTGACCCCGCCACACTGAGGTAAAGCACTGGGGGAGTGCAGCGGAACAGCAGGGGAGGGGAGTAGCAAGATCCCCAGGGAATGATGAGGGTGGACATTGGACACAGGGCATGGTGCCCCAACAGGCTAG